ATTTCCCCCAAATTCGTATGTTGAAGCCTTAATCTCCAATGTGATGGTATTTGGAGATGAAGTCTTTGGGAGGTAATTCAGCCATGAGAGTGGAGCCCTCATGAATGGGATTAGTGTGCTTATAAGAAGAGACATGAGAGAGATAATATCTCTCTCTCCACCATGTGTGAATACAGCAACAAGGTGACTATCTGAGAACCAGGAAGAGGACTCTCACCAGGAACCAAATGGCCAGTTCCTTTATCTGGGACTTTCCAGCCTCCAGAACTGCGAGAAATAAATCTCTGTTGTTTCAGCCACCTGGTCGATGACATTTTTGTTATAGCAGCCCAAACTGACTAAACCAGGACAGCTACAAAAGACCTACAGCTATCCCCCAAGATCAGAAACATGACAAGGATGTCTACTCTTACCAATTCTGTTCAACGTTGTTCTAGAGCTTCTAGCCAGTGCAGTAAGCCAAGAAAAAGCAATTAAAGTCATCCATGTTGGAAAAGAAGAAGCAAAATCTCATGAAGTAAAAAGAAGTAAAATGATGTGATTACCTATGTAGAAAATCAGATACAATCTACAAAAAAGCTACTAGAAAAAGTTTAGCAATGTTGCAGGGCAGTAGGTGAATATATAAAAATCGATTATATTTCTATATACTAACAACAAATAATAGCAAATAGACTATTTTTAAATGCCATTTACAATAGCATCAAAAAATATGAAATACTTGGGGATAAATCCAACAAAAGATGTGTAAGACATATTCTTAAAACTACAAAACACTACTGAAAGAAGTTCAAGAAGAGACATGGGGAGATAAGCCTTGTTCACAGTCAGAAGACTTAATATTGTTAAGATGTCAGTTCTCCACAAATTGATCTATAGACTTAACACAATCTCTGTCAACATCCTAGGCTTTTCTGTAGAAATTGGAAAGCTGATTCTGAACTTCATATGGAAATACAAAGGACCTAGAATAGCCTCAACAACTCTGATAATAGAAGAACAAAGTTGGAAGGCTAACACCATCTGATTTTAAGACTTGTTACAAAGCCCTAGTAATCAAGAGAGTATGGTATTGGCATAAAAATAGTGGTTCACTGGACCAAAATAGAGAGTTCAGAAATAAACCCACATGTAAATGAACAACTGACTTTTTCAAAGATTTTATTTATTTATTTATTTTCCCCCCAAAGCCCCAGTAGATAGTTGTATGTCATAGCTGCACATCCTTCTAGTTGCTGTATGTGGGACAGGGCCTCAGCATGGCCGGAGAAGTGCACGCCCGGGATCCGAACCTGGGCCGCCAGCAGCGGAGCGTGCGCACTTAACCGCTAAGCCACGGGGCCGGCCCTGAACAACTGATTTTTGACAAAGGTTCAAAGGCAATTCAGTGGAGAAGGGATAGTCTTCCCAACAAAAGATGCTGGAACAACTGGATTTCTATATTCAGAAAAACTACTACAATCTATACCTCACATTATGTACAAAAATTAACACAAAATAGATCATAGACCTAAATATAAAACTATAAAACTTCTATGAGAAAATCTTTGTGACTTTCAGTTAGGCAAAGAATTCTCACATATAACACCAAAAGCATGATCCAAAAAGAAAAAAATGATATAAATTGGACTTTATGAAAATTTAAAACTTTTGCTCTTCGAAAAACAGTGTTAGGAGAATGAAAAGGTAAGCCACAGTCTTGGAGAAAATAACTGCAAAACATATATCTGATAAGATAAGTTGTATTAGTCAGACTTCTCCAGAGAAACAGAACCAGTAGTATATATATACATATATATAAGAGGAGATTTATTATAAGAATTGGCTCATGTGGTTATGGAGGCCAAGAGGTCCCACAATCTGCCATCTGCAAGCTGGAGAACGAGGAAAGCCAGTAGTGTAATTCAGTTCAAGTCAGAAGGCCCGAGAACCAGGAACTCTGATGTCTGAGGGTAGGAGGAGATGGATGTCCCAGCTCAAGAAGAGGGAGAATTCACCCTTCCTCCATCCTTTTGTTCTATTTGGGCCCTCAAGGGATTGGATGATGCCCACCCACATTGTGGAGGGCGAGCTTCTCTACTCAGTCTACTGATTCAAATGCTAGTCTCTTCAGAGACACACCCAGAAATAAGGTTTTACCAGCTGTCTGGGCATCCCTTAGCCCAGTCAAGTTGACACGTAAAAGTAACCATCCAGAATATATAAGGAACTCTCAAAACCCAATAATAAGAAAACAAATAGCCCAATAAGGAAATGGGCAAAATATTTGAACAGACGCTTCACCAAAGAAGATATAGGCATGGCAAAAAAACACGTGATTAAGATGTTAGTCAATAGTCATTAGGGAAATACAAATTAAAACCACAATGAGATACTACTACATAACCCCTAGAATGGCTATAATCACAAAGGCTGACCATACCAAAGGTTGGCAAGGATCTGGATCAACTAGAACTCGCTTACCCTGCTGATGGGAATGTGAAATGATACAACCACTTTGGAAAACAATTTAGCAGTTTCTTAAAAAGTCAAACATAGACCTAGCAAATGACCTAGTAATCACGCTTGTAAAGAGAAACCTTACGTCCATACGAAGACTGATAAGTGAATGTTCATAGCAGCTTTATTCCAACCAAAAGCTAGAATCAACCCAAATGTCTATCCACAGGTGAACAGATGAACAAACTGTGGTATATCCATACAATAGAATAGCACTCAGCAACACAAAGAATGAACTATCAATATATATCTAACAACATGGATTGAGTCTTGGAGTAATTCAAGTAATTCCCAAACTCTAGAAAATGCAAACTAATTTTTGGTTGAAAGAAAGAAGATCTGTGGTTGCCTGGGGAGGGGAGCAGGAGGAAGAGACCACAAAGGGATTATAAGGAAACTTGGAGGTGCTGGCTTTGTTCCTTATCTTGATTGCAGTGATGGTTTCATAGATGTATACATATGTCAAAACTTATCAAATTGTGTGCTCTAAATACATATGGTTTACTGTGTGTCAATTATACCTCAATAAAGCTGTTAAAATAAATAAGAAAAAACATAGAAGGGGAGAAAGAAAAAGAGTGAAATGACTCCAAGAAAGGTTTACATAAATTGCTGTAGCCTGTGTACCTCTGACTGTGACCTTGAACTTTGAGCCTTCATTCTCAAGAATGTGTAAGGTTGGGAACAGGATTGCTTTTTTTTTTTTTTTTTGGGCACCCCTAATAAATTGGCTCTCCGTACACCTTATTTAGACATTTCTTAGGTGGCTGGCATTTTTCCTTTTTTAAATATTTGTCTGGATTTTAATGGGGTCAACCAATGTTTTCTAAGCCCCCATAGCCTTAGAATTACCAAGTGAATCAGGATAAACCTTATTTATGATTCCTGAGCATCTGTGAATTTGTTTACTGCCTGTTCCTCATCCTCCAGAAGAAAGTTTCTCTAGATTAATGTTTGGGAATCTCTAATGCTGTATCCTGAGAATGCTGGGGAGCTGGAGATGGCCCAGCGGTCCTGACAACTCAAAATCACCTCTATTCTGATTATGTCCTTAGTCTAATGAGAAGTTTTATAAATATTAAATAAACAAAGTTCAGTCCCTCGGGTTTTGGAGGGAAGTAGTCCTTCCAGGGTAGGAAAAAGAATCGGTCTATTGCCAAGTATTTTTAGACAAAAGCATTTCCCTCAGTGATCCAAGAACTGGCGATCATGGAAGGAGAGGTGGAGTCCACAGGGTACGTTTGGAAGCTACAACAAGCAGCTGTAAAATGAGAAGTGGGATGGGATATCCCCTAAGGTTCCACCCTGGTTTACAGTTCTGTCACTCTGGTGACAAGGGCAGACCCAAATTTTAGTTCTGGCTCTACCATTAATTTTCAGGGTAACAACAGGCTTACGTCATCTTGATAAGCCTCAGTTCCCTCGTTAGTTAAAGATAGTAAAGCCTAATAAAAAGCTATGTATTTAAAACTTCCGTGCCTTAAAAACAACACGACTTGGATGCTGGCTTTGGGACCTGAGTCCCGGGAGGGTGCTGCTCACTTGTTCAGGGTCATTAGACAGTTGCCTGAGGGCATGAGCGTGGGAGCCTCTCAGCGCACCGAGTCCAGAAGCACCACCTCGATGAGAAGTAGCAGGTGCCCGCCCTCTGCCCTGCATCTTCTCACTGATCCTGTGTGTGGATCTAGTCCGGCCAGAACTCGATTCAAATCATTTATTGACATCTCCTAATTGCCAGCCCTGTACTGGATGCTTTCGCATATATAACCTCATTTAAGTCTCAAATTGACAAATCTCTTAACAAGCAAAGCTTGAAAGACTTGCTGTTAATAGAGAACAGCGCAAGCTGCATAGAGACAGGAACATAGAGAATTCTCCCCACCCCCCATTAACTCCACAGGAGGGGTCTCTTAAAGGTAGAAGAGTTGGATGCCCAGCTGTGTATAAATATTTATTTTCTTCATCTTGTTAGTCTAGGGAGTCCCAGGCTTTAGGATATATAGAGAGTTGTAACACAAAACTCTGTTCACCATAATTATAGCTCCTGCAGTGGCCCCGCCCTCACTGCTCTAAGATCCCTGCTCAGGTGTCCGCTTCTCCAAGAGGCCGTCCTGACCAGCCCACTTCTCCTGAGGACCCTCCCCAGCACTTCCTGTTCCCCCATCCGATTTATTAATTCTCTACAACACATGTCCCCACCTGCCATATTATGTATTTACTTGTTTGTCTGGTGTCTCCCTCCTATCTCTAGAATTTAGCTGCTGTGAGAACCAGGGCTTGGAACTGTGCCTGCTCAATGAATGTTTGTTGGGTGAATGAATGATTATGGATGGGTAATTAAAGGGACTCTCAGGAGTAATTTTGATTCCGCATGGTCTTCGCTTTTGGTGCTGCCCTTGGGACCTCCCACTGTGTAGCTAGATGGTTCTGGTGGGATATTTCCCAGGAGGAGACACGCAGCAAAGCTTCTGACACGTCCACCCTTCCCTTTCCTGCCCCAGGTGAATATAGCACACACAATGGACCTTCCACACCGGCCAAAGAGGGAGACACAGACCGGCCGCACCGGGCCTCCGACGGGAAGCTCCGAGGCCGGTCTAAGCGGAGCAGTGACCCCTCCCCAGCAGGGGACAGCGAGATCGAGGTAAGCCACACCGCCTCTCTGTGACTTGGTGAATGTACTCTCCATCTGTGGCCAGAACAGGAGGATGGGACAGAGTCCTGTCCAAGTACATGGAGGAGAATGGCTCTTTGTGTTCAAAGTAACAGAGAAAAGAGCACTTGACAGAAAAGTAGGGAAGAATTACATTGGCCCTGTGGAAGCGCTGTTGACTGACCCAGCTGGGAAAAGGGACCTGGAGAGAATGAAGAACAGTGGTTCTCAGACTTAAGCAGCAGGATCACCTAGGGGCTTGTGAAAACCCCTGGGCCCCACCCCCAGAATTTCCAATTCAGTAGATCTGGGGCGGGGCCTGAGAGTTTGCATTTCTAACAAGTTCCCAGATGATGCTGATGCTGCTGGGTTGGGGACCACACTTTGAGAATCCCCGATAAAGACGACAGTGGGCTGTGGACCTTCCCAGCTGCATGTTATAGAATCACCTGGGATGCTTTTTAAAATACTGACACCCAGGCCCCATCTCAGACTAATGAAATATACACTGGGGGAGGGAGTTCTAAAAGTTCCCCTAGTGATTCTAATATGGCCTCAGTATTCATCTGCGTGGAGACAGGAGGTTGGCTCAGATGAGTTTGCATCATTTGTGTGATTCTGTGTATCTCAGATGGTGGTTCTCAACCTGGGCTGCACCTTAGAATCTCTTGGGGAGCTTTGAGAAACCTTCGTCTCAGGCTGTACCCCACATCAATTAACTCAAACTCCCTGAGAGTAGGAGCCAGGCAGCAGTATTTTTAAGCTCCCCAGGTGATGCCAGTGTGCAGCCCAGGCCGAGAACGGCTGGTCTAAGGGATGCGCCAATCTTGATTATAATAAACCACGTGTAGGATTAGTGGTCAGGCACTGACATTTTCCCAAATGAACCAAAAAGAACAGCACACGTGAGGGGGCAGGGAAGGTACTAGTGGGGACAGAGGCAAGATGGACACCCAAAAACAGATATAAGCAGCTGTTATCCATCAACGGAGAAAAATGGACGTGTGCACTAGCTCAGACTTCTTTGCAGAACAAAGTCAATCATTCGTTGGCTTGAGTGTGCTGTGGGGACCTGGATAGCGTTGGCAAAGCCTGTGTCAGTGCCACGAAACTGGAATGCATCGTCATCGCGTCCCTGTTCATAATCCTGTGCAATTTATGCAGCAACTGCAAAGCTCAACCCACAAACTCAGACCTGCTAAGAAATACCATTTTCATCGTTTCCTTAAAATCAACGTAATTTGACTCTGAGTCCCACATCCCACCAAGGTGGTAGGAAATTCCGTCTCATTATTGGGGCCCCACCCCTCCCAGAATTCTGTGAGAATCTCGGAGTGTGAGTGTCTCAGAAAAGAGATTACGAGCCTCTAATGTCCAGTGTGGCGTGGTCCCTGTTGCCTTCCTCGCTGTCAGGGGCTGCAGTGGCCATTGCAAGGCCAGCCATTCCCCGGGGTTTCCTTGCCACGCATCCGGCGTAGAAATCCTTATTGAGCATGAGGACTTTGGAGTATTAGCTACAATCCTTGGGTTGCAAGCAACAGAAACCAGTTCTGGTTACTTAAGCAAAAAGGAGCTTACTGGGAGGGACAACATGGAGAGGTTAGAAAGAACAGTAACAAAGCAACAGTACCCTCCAGGGCGCCAGCCCCTGCCGGAGAGTGAACTATTTGAGATTCTAGCGCCACTTCACTCGGTGTCCGATTCCAAGGAGGCAGCATCCCGTTGGCCTGGCTTGGCTCTTAGGCTTGCCCCTGATTGACCGTCTCACCAAGACAACACACGATGGGCCAGAAAACCAGGTGCTCTTATCAGAAGAGGGTGGATGCTGGCGGCACAGACAACAAACGCCCACCACCAGGGCATTTGATATTGAGCCAGTATTGACTAGTCGGGCTATACTAGTTAGACAGTGTTCACTAGTAGGGCTGTAACGGATGTTTATGGCTGGTGTCTGTTCCAGTCATCCTAGAGGTGTTAAATATTTTGAAGATCACGCTTATCCCCTACACTCGGTCAACCTCCTGAGGATACAGCAGCCGTCTCCTCTGAGAGGTTGACCATCCTGGGGACCTGCCACGGAGCAAGTGTTTCCACTGCTCTTGGGACTATTCTCAGTCCAGAGGATTCTGTTCTTGCTTTTCCTCTAATTCTTAAAGCTCTCTGCCTTCCAAAACCGAGGAGATTTTGCATAATCCCTTCAGTGGGATTAGGCCTTTGCAAAAGGCCGGAAGAAAATTTAGTGACCTCAGGTTTTCCCTGCTTTCTGTCCTCCCGTATTCCTGAGGATTTTCTACCAGCTTGAGGTTGCAGAGCTATAGAAATCACAAAAAGCAACACATCCTTTAATATTACAAAAAAAAAGAGAAAAACTATTGGGTCATCTAATGTGCTTTCTGCTCTTGGTGGGAGTGGGGGTGGAGAGACATTTTTCCATTAAACTGAGAAGGTGGAGGTGGCATGGAAGTCAGGGATTATGGGGTGATATTATTCTGGAAACATCTGCTTCTTGATTCCAGGGTAAGTACCACTGGGCAAAGCACACTTGCAAAGGTGTGAGCTGTGTTTCACTTCTGTGCTTAATGTCAGTATGGAGGGTTGCATGGGTCGCACCTCTTAAGTCTTTGGCAGTTTTGCTAATGACTGAGCCCACGAGAGAGAAATTATGTAAAGAAGTGGAAAGGAGGAAAATGCTGAGTGTGTATTAGTCAAAATCCCTTGACTGCAGGTGCCAGAAACCAACTCGAGCTAGCTTAAGCGAAAAAGCAGAATTTAAAGGATATGGGGATTCTCTCAGAACCCAAGGGCAGGGGTGCACTGGAGTGTCAGGAAGATACTGGAATTAGAAGGTAGTCGGGGCAAGGAAATGCATTTATACCTTCTCTCCCCACATGCCACAGTGAAGGTGCTGGAATCCCCAGACAAGAGTGTCTTGCAGTGTCCCCATGCACAGGTTCCTGGGCACGGCTCTCCTCCAGGAGCCTCGCTCTGCTTCTCTCTGAAACCAGGTCCTGCAGAAGTGTTAGGTTATCTTTCCGTCTTTCACCCCTCTGTTCCTCTCTTTCTGCAGACTGGCCTCCCTGCCCTTCAGATCATGTGGCCACCAACAGCCACCCAAAGACAATGAATTTCTTTCTAGGTCTCAATTCTTTAAGTTCCCAAGGAAAGACCTCTGACCCAACCGGGGTTAGGGGCTCACCTTGGCCCAAACCATGGTGGGCTACAGAGTAGGGTCATCTGCAGAATGGCCATCAGGAACTCACCCATGAAGGATCTAGGAAGCGGGGATAGAGTGGTGGGGTAGTGGGGGTGACTTTCTTCTTCAGAGAGGACGTAATAGATAAATTAATGGAGTCTGCATTAAATTTGAAAATATTCGCTGATTTTTGAAAATTCTCTTACCAAGATTTCTAAGTTTAACTGATCCAACCCACTTAGTTCAGATAAATTAGAACTTAGTGTATTTAAACCCCAGAAGCCCTCTCCAAAACAGTAGTTTTCAAACATTCTTTTACCATGACCCATCATAAGAATGATACTTAATATTGTGACCCAGCACATACACACACATAAATATAACTAGACTAAAAAACTCACAAAATAATACTCAGGTCTGCTAATTGCTTTGAAAATCTCTGCACTAATTGACCTTTTTCCTTCTAGAAACCACCTTTCTCTACTTTTAAGGGCATGGTCAATGCCAATGTGTAAATAGAGCCACTGACTTACAGAGAATTGTCACAAGTGGCCCATTCAAGATGGTAGACTGAGTAGGTGCCTCTGCCCCCGCCCCCTCAACACCGACTATGTAAATGATTAGTCGGACCCTTTGTTGTTAAAAATAATGATTGCCAGAAAAATGAAGAAAACCAACAGTATCAAAAATAAAGGCCAAGCTAAATGAATAAATGACAAGAAAGGTATTTTAAGAAACATAAAAGAACTTAGAAGAATTCTGACTGGTTATCTTGTAAAGATTTAAGGAGATCTTGCATCCATAAAATAAGAAGTGGAGGCTATTGGGAAAGGAACACTCAGAGACAGAGAAAGAGCTTTTGGAAATTTTAAAATGATAGAATCAAAAGTTTAATAGAAGAGTTGGAACAGAAAGTTTAAGAAATCTTCCAGAACATAGATCAAAAAGACAAAATTATAGAAAATATATTTTTTAAAGGATAAGCAATATCAATCTGAAAGGTCTAATTTGACTATTGGGAATTCCAGAAAGAGAGAACAGTGGAAAAGATGGGAGGAAATTATTTAAAGAAATAGGATTGAAAATGCTTGAGTGCTGAACAGTATGAATGAAAAAAAACTACCTCTAGATATATCCTCATGGGATTTGAGGATACCGAGTATAAAGAAAAGATCCAAAAAATCCTATAGAGAAAAAAGGGAAACCTACAAAAGAGTGAGAATCAGTGAAACAGATCAGACTTCTCATCAATCATGCTGGACACTATACGATAATGGAGGAATTCTTTCCAAGATCCAGAGGACATGATTTTCCAATTGGATTTCTGCACCCAGAGGAATTGTAGACCAAAATAAAGATATCATCAGATTTTCAAGAATTCAGGAAGATTGCTTTCTGTGATCCTTTCAGAAGAAGCAACTTAAGGATGTATTCAAGCAAAACAAGGAAGAAAACCAAGAAAGAGAGGGACTTGAGGAAACAGTGGATTTGACCCAGAAATGCGGTAAAGGGAAGTCTCACGATGCTAGCTATGTAGGAAGCCTAAAAATGATCCAGTCCACACTGGAGCATGCAGTCACCAAGGATGAACATCTCTAATAGAGGATGTGGCTGATTTTGAGATCATAAGGAAGGCACATTATTGCAAACAAGAAAATAATTAAAGCGATTAATAAACTCCAACAAACACAAAAAGTTATACCAGACAGGCATGTTTCCTATGTAACAGAGATATGGCATGATTTTATTTGGGATGGTGTGCAGGAAAGGAGAATACACGTGGACCTTGATGGAAGGAACAGTCTCCTTAAAGTGACTCCAGGGTAATGACATTGGGCATTAGAGAAGCAAGTGAAGCCCTAGCACGTTACTTGGCTCTGCAGTGAACAGTAATCACAAGATGTCAGTGCTCTTTGCTGGTTACCAGCTCTTAAAATCTATGTATGGACAGAGCACAGAAGACTTAAGTATAGTTATAAAACCAAATGCACAAACCAGTTGACCCACATTGACAATGCAAAAGTAAAGGCTGAAGTTGATAGATGTTGGAGAGGGGAGGAGGCGAGGGAAAGGGTGGGTATCCATATCTTTACCGTTTTAGCCAAGGGAGATGTCCAAAGCTGATGGAATTGGCAATAGAAAGGTTCACATATGTGAAAAATATAAAGTTCCGGAGACATGAGAGAGATCACCATGAGCTAAACCCTCATCTTTCACATTGCCCAGTCAAAAGATCTTGTCTAAAGTTGGCAAATCAATAACGTATAAGTGTGTTAGAGTTATGGAGGTAATCACCAGAACTGCTAAAAATAGAAATGGTCAGAAGTAATTGGACTTATGGTGAGCAGTGAATGCAGAATGGTAGTATTTCATTTCGTCAAATGAGTTATGTGACTTTTATTGTTGTTTTTGGCCTGAGCTCCTTTTTTGAGCTTTTATGTGGAAGGCAAGAACAGGCTTCTTGGTTCTGGCATCTCTTGGGTTGATAGGAGCTCAAATATTGGCCATCAGAATACACTTTACACAGCTGAGGTTGGATGGAGACTCAAGGACACATCAGTGAGTCGCATGTTTTATAACTTAAAGATGATGTTTTTCAAGACTTCTTTTTCCTCCCAGGGAGTTAATTTCTGCAGACATTAAGTCAGGTGCAAGCGAGCCCATTTGTCTCCATTCTCTTCCTCTCTCTCATCACAGCGCGTGTTCGTGTGGGACCTGGATGAGACAATAATTATCTTTCACTCCTTGCTCACGGGGACTTTTGCATCCAGATACGGGAAGGTAAGAATCCATTTTGTCTCTCCTCTTTTTTTTTTTTTTCCAACAAGACAGTCTGTCCAGCTGGTTTGTCCTGGGAATTGTGGGGGCAGTTTATGAGGCAGCTTCTCCAACAAAAGCTGCCCCACTGGATCAGCCCAGGTTTGAGAACTCCTATGGAATTTTCCCTTGACATGTGAAAATTTAATTAGCTCCCCTACTATTGTCTCCCTTGCCTTTTCTTCCAACACATGAAGCATTCAACATCCACTTGATAGGATATAAGCTCATAGTCTTTGGCTGTCTCCCTCCTAAGAGGGCTAGGATACACTGCAGCCAAAAACAGTCATCTTAGCTAAGAAACAAGGTAAAGTATTTTTCTTCTTCCCTGTTGTTTATGTTAGTGTCTCCGGCAGATGAATTTAATTTTCCTTCCGTTTTTCTGAGACGAGGGGGAGGCATTTTGTCGGCCCCAGCGTGGATCTTAGCGACAGCTTTGCAAATATATCATGGGCGGATTATGTTGGGGGAACCACCCAGTTAGAATTCTGGGCAAATGCTATCAGCTGATTGGTGGTAAATGGAAGAAACATGGAAACCACCTTCATAATGCAAAAACGAACCCAACTGCTAAAACTCAAACACTGCCGAATCTTTGCATTCATCCTGTGGGCTTTTCAACAAACCCCAGGTGGATGCTCCAACCATCTGCTCTCTCTTCAGGGAGACAGGTGGGGGTGGAGGGGCGGAGCTTTAGAGGATTGGCGAGTTATCTTCTCATCCGAAGGGAGCGACCTGTTGGCAGCCACTTCCATGCCTGGGTAGGAACCATGAGACTCACCAGCGCCTGGAAAATATTTCTGTTTCTGTTTAGAGACCGGGAATATGATTTGACATCACCTCATGGCTTTTCCAGCTGCTCGTGTTTTTTATGGGGGTTATAACAAGCTGGATGTGTAATTAGCAAGATAGATTTATCGTCTGCCATTATGTTGTAAAGAGTATAAAAATGGTGTTGGTGGTGCAGAAATCTCTTGCCGCGTAGGAATGCCGTTAATATGTCTAGCAGTGCCTGCGGGAAATCCGGCGTGCGTTTTTGGCCCGTGCACAGCTTAGGTAAAGGATGGCAGAGTGGAGAGCTGCTGAAAACACCGAAAAGTGGACTTGGCAGCCATTGCGAAAAGTTGGGCTATCCCAAAGGGGCCACAGTAGTGGGTTGCCCACTAAGTCTGGATGTTCTGTGGTTTTTCTAACCACCCGGTAAAGTCACCTCCCCTACAAAGCATTCCTTCACTCTCCTTGTCCTTAGAGATAGCCCTCTGAAGTTCTCCAGCTCCACGCGACAGTTTGGGTCTCACGGGTTCTGTGTGGGGCATGGTAATCTTGGGGATGATTCCTGTGTCTGTGTCTCACCAGTAGTCCTTAAACCGAATTGTGGGCTCCCTGAAGACAGGGACAAAGCCCAGAGCTTCTTTCTGGGCACCATGCATCTGGTCCATGTCGTTCCTCATTGCCAGCTGCCTCTCTCCAGCCCCACCACCTAACTCCAGCTATCTGGTCTCGAAGCTTCCACTTTTGCCCTTCACAGCCCCCTACGGAGGGGTCATCCTACAGTATAAGCCTGATCATGTCACTCCCCCACTGAAAAATCGTTAGTGGCTTCCCCATGGACAAACCCTGACCCAGCCTCCAAGGTCCTTCATGAGCTCTGCAGCTCTGTTTCCTGCTATTTGTCCCAAGTTGCTTTCTGTCCTCCAACCTGCCACGTTCTCTCCCATCTCTGCTGGGTTTCTCCCAGAAGCAGAGCCTGAGACAAGGAGCGAGTACGGGTAGTTTCTTTGAAGGGTGATCCCAGGAAGCACCAGGTGCAGAGTTGGGGAGTGAGACAGGGAAGGGAAGGCGGCCAATGCAGAGTGCGTAAATAGTTATGCTGCGGGTCCCTGGGGCTCAGTCCCACCAGGGACCCCTGGGAGACTCTGTAGAACACACCTCAGAGTTGACTCACCCGAGGAGTGAGGGTGCTGGGATATTGATCTACAGATCCCCTTCCATCGTGAGTTGAGGGCTTCTCCCAGGGGCCTTATCTCCCTGCCCTTCTGGCCAGCCCCAAGAAAGCCCTAGGGCAGGGAATCACAGGTGCTAATAGTAGAAAGCCTCTGTGTGTACAGGAATGGCAGCACCTGAGGGGACGGGGGAAGGGGCACACTGGAAGCCTCTGCTATAATCTAGAATGCTCTAGAAAATTCTTTTACTAGATTAAATCTTACTTTGCTTTCAGTTCTCATTTTAAATGTAGCTGCCTCCAAGAGGACTTTCCTAACCACTCTCCTCCGTGTAAATTGCATCCCTCCCCATAACTATATTTTCCATTTGTATTATAATTATGCACTTATTGCCTGTCTTCCTTCCAGGCCATATGTACCATGAGGGCAGGGACCATGAACATTTTTTATTGGCCCAACTAAGCACAGCACATGGGCCAGAATGGCTCAGTAAATACTTGTTGCCTGAGTGAATCAGGACAGTCCTCTAGAAGGAAAGCTGTATGTCGACAGGCATGATTTTTTTTTCTGTTTTGTTCATTGCTTTATCCACAGTGAATAGAACAGTGCCTTGCACTCGGTAGGCGTCAAATAAATATTTGTTGAGTGAAGGAAGGAAGGAAGGAAAATAGTCTTAAAACAAAAAATTCCTAACTGGTGGCCACCGGCCAAATTCAGCCTGCAGACATTTTTGTTTGGGCCCTAGAGTGTTTGGAAAAATGTGAATTTGTCGCCAGCATTTAAAAATCAGGAGATTACACAGACCAAAACAATCTAGATTTCCAACTCTTCTTGAAAAATTAGGAAATCTGGCAATCCTGCGATCCCATGTGGCAGCAATCAACAGGAGCTGAGTAGTGACTGCCCTGATAGAGGGGGTGGATGCTTCCAGTCCACCCACAGCCCCCACCTGGCCTGTTTAACCTGTTTATGGGACCCTCCTGTCCCCATTGGCATCTGGGTTTCAACTGTCCTAGAATTTCAAAACCACAAAAGGTCACAGCTGGAAGAACCATGATAGGAGACCATCATGCCCAGTTAGTCTCCGCAGTGCATAAGGAGAGAGCAAGATCACGCAGGAGAGAATGAGAGTCAGACCTCAGGCTCACTTGCCTCCTTGTGTGTTTCCAGGATGTCCAGGGGAAACTGAGGTGAGAAGCTCTTAGAGCCCCCAGGTCTCCTGGGCCATCTTCATTCCTTTTCTAGAATGTTCCACTCCCTCCTCCAGCTCTCTTAGGTGAGGAATGAGTATTTTTTTATTTGCTAAATCCAACCACCCTAAGAGAGATGCAAAATACCCATGGCTTAAACAAGATAGAAATTTATTTCTCTCACCTAGCAGTCGAGCCATACGTGGTTCAAGCTGGTAAGGCTACTACACAGAGCCAGAGACCGAGGCCCCTTCATCTTGTTCTCTGCCATTCCTGGAGCATTGCCCTCATTGGCAAGATAAAACATGCCAGCCAGCGAGAAGGGGAAACGGGAAAAGGGGAGTTTACCCCTCTCTTTTTTTATATTTTCTTTTTATGTTTTTCCCTCTCTTTTAAGGGCCAGACCCAGAAGTTGCACATATCATTTCTGCTCACATCCCATTGGCTGGAACTTGATCACATGGCCACATCTAGCTGCAAGGGAGTCTGGGAAATGTAGTCCAGTCACATGCCCCATTAAATTCCAGGGATTCTATTACTCTGAGAGGGAGAAAGGAAGAACGATTACTGGAGGACACTAGCATTTTCTAGCACAAAGTATCATGTAATACAAGGAAGATGAGGGAAAGAGAAAAATGTTGAGGAAAACTAAAATTAGTTCTGTTCGAGAGACCTAGAGGGCAACTGTATTTGTGGGTCTGAAGCTCCAAAGAGAGATCTGGACTACAGTTATAAACTTGGAAGTTGGAAAAGTATAGAGGATCTTGAGGAGCAGGAGTGTGAGTCCTGTTTTGCAGACAGAGTAACTGAGACACAGAGAGGTCATGTAGTCAGGGTATTCATAACAGAACTAAAATACATGACCTTGACTTTTGGCCCACAGCTCTTTCTCTTTGTGCTTTTCCAGCAGCTGCAGCCATGTAGAACTCCATATTAATAGCTGGTATCAAGTGGGACTCTCAGTTTGAAATATGTAGTATTTAAGCTACAAAGGGAATTTATTGGATCACAATAATTGAAAAACCCAGGGATATCTGGGATTCAGGTCAGGCTGGATCCAGGAGCTCAAGCAATGTTCTCAGGGCTTGGTCTTTTTGCATCCCTCAGCTGATTTTCTCCATGTAGTGACTCCCTCTCTGCAAACCCAACTAAAAAAGGAGACCTGTGCTTCCCAACTTCCAGCACAACTCCCAGGCGTGAATCTCATTGGCCCAAACTGGGTCAAATGCCTGTACATATGCCAACTTCTGTGGCTCTCATTGGCTAGCCTAGATCAAGAGCCCATTCCTGGCATAGAGAGAGTGGTGGAGGAACAGGTCAGCTTCATCCCAACCAAATGGATAGAGTGGGGAAGGGATGGTCCCCCAAAGGAAACTGAAGTACTCTTTCTAGAAGAGGGCGAGGACCGTAGAGGTCCACGCCAAGGACAAAAAAAGAGCAAAGCAGCTCTGCTTGTGGCCATTGTACTGAGCACTGTCCAGGAAGCAGAAATCATATCAATTGTGGTCCCAGCCAACGGAGCGACTTACTGTTGACTTAGGGAAATAAGACCAACAGAGCTCAAGTGATTAAGGAATGATTCAAAACAGAGTGAGTTTTAAAACAGACACTGGGCTCTCTTCCTGTTCCCAATCAAGACATGTGCTGCTCGAGGCTGTCGTCTCTCCACTTCCTTTCCATCTCTTCCTCCCCAGTGCTCAGAACCAGAGCATCCCTTTGGTAGCTGTACCTCCTGCATCTTGTAGATCCATTAGAAATTCCCTGGAGAGCTGTAGCAGCTGGCGATCGCCGCCTCTTTCCTAACCTCTCCTCCCACCCCGCCTCCCCACAG